ATATAGAGTATTTAGGTGTGCCTGTCAAAGTTGCAACGCCGACAGAAGGATAATGAAATCAATACACCCACCCAACGCAAACGTTCAAGTTGCCCAAGGGGAAAAAAGTACGAGACGTTTGTTGAGGGATTCGGATTCATTGGGGGGCGGAGGAGGGATTACGGTCTGGCGAGACAGGATAAAAAGTCAGACGGAAATTAGCTTTTATCGCTGACCTTGGCTCTTGTTCGTTGTTCGTGGTATGAAAAGCACAAGGTATAGTAAGTATGTGCACATACATATTTATAAATACAAACGTAAAGTGGCATTGCTGTTGGCATAAACCATGTGCTAATTGATTGCGTTTTGGCTTAAACTGCTAACTCGCTGTAACCACAATGCGTGTGTTCAACCAGCAAACAAAAAATAAAAAAAATACATAATAATAAAAACGAGCTCCTTGGCAATGAGTTTCTCCATTAAACAGTGTTTTATTATAGTTTTCGAACTATAAATGAATATTATAATATTTTTATACTTGTTTCTAGAAAAAAAATACTTTTGTAGCCCACTGTGTCTGAGTTATGAGTGCCTCCTTGTAATTTTGTTTTTATTACGCTTCATTTCATACATACATACATATACAACTTTTTGCGTGTTAATCAATTAAAGCAATACACTACATTTACATACTACAAACATACACACATATCTACATTTGTAGACTGCGGAGAGCATGCTTTTTGTAATATTTGTATTTTTTTTTGGGTTATAAAAATTGTATCATTTTTTCTACGGTGTGTACGCACTTCTCTTCGGAAAGGGGGTCACACCGAATAAAACGCATAAGCATGACACACTTATTTTTCTCTCTGTCGAAGATTTCGGTTCTCTTTTGTGCCTGTGTTCTGCTTTTGAAAGAAGACGCCGCAAAGAAAGCGACCAAAACGGAGGCGCAAAGCATTTACAGTTATGCGAAGGAAAGTAAAAGTCGAAATCAATGAATTTGTATTGTTTGTTTTTGGAATGTATGCGAAATAGGTAAATAGGAAAAAAAATAAAATCATTGAGAAAAAAATAAAACGAAAAGGGGAAGAAACAAGGTTGAATTCGCACAGTGGAAACACTTTTGCTTGAATTCTTCGACATTGTTCACATTTATGTATAAAAAAGAAAAAAGTCCCATTCTAAAAATAAAGAATTTTAAGAATTCCAAAAAATCAATTGATAGTGGGTTTTGAAAACTTTTTTTTTCATATAATTTTTTCTGAATTTTTTAATATTGGCAATCTTTACTGTGTCTGCCATTTTGCTTTGGGCATTTGTGCTTTTTAAGCTTCGTTTTCATAGTTTACTTAAATCTTTCACAGCAGACATTTGCCATCTCGCTCGCACGCCGCAAACAAGTTGGATTTACCGTTGCGTATTTTCTTCTTCTTGGCTTTTATTTTGGCTTTGCTGCTGATTTTAATTACCCACAAAAAAAAGAAGCAACTATAACTACAGGTTGATGATGATGAGTAACGATATGATGAGTAAAGTGACAAAGAGAGAGAGAGAGAGAGAGAGGGAGAGGGAGGCAGCGAGGAAAAAGAATTGAAATATTTTCAGCCAAAATAAACATATGGTTTGAATTTGAAACCAATTATCAGGCAGAAAAAATTTGCTGCTGGCTTATCGCCTTATCACATTCTCGTTTCCCCACGCAGTAGTTCTTCTCTTTCGCTCTTTTACCCTCCAGTGAAATATTACAAAAAAAAGAGGACAAATTTGAGTTGAAAAACAATAATCAAATTCAGTTGACAATCAATGAAATACAGTGGAGATTCCCAAAACAAAACTTCTCCTTTCCATAAAGAAAATTTCAGTGCAATCACTGCCAATTATTAACTCTGTATTGTCATCTTTCAGATAAACCAACAAATCTACATAAATGACGTCATGTGGCTTGTAGCTTTAATGTAAAAATGTCAGGCACTTGAAACAATTTTTTTTTTTTATTTGCGCCGGCGATTTTCCGACGACTGCCAGCGGAACTGGGTCAATATCTTAATTAATTTTAATGGGCTTAATTTAAAGACAAAGGAAGCGAGCACTAACAAAGTTACATCAATCATTTGCGTATAGCAATCGTTCGGAAAAAGGAAAATAAAAGGGGGAGGGGGAGAAGCCATGTTTTCTGCTCTACTTTTTGAAAAACGCGACCTTAGACAAAGAAAAACTATGGCAGAAAAATATACGATGGGGTTTTTAAATTCATAAATTAAAACTACTTAAAATTTTAAAATTAAAATGCAAAAAATTCTAAAAATAGTTCGCTGTTATCCAAAAATTCTCAATGTGGTAAATGTTTCTCCAAGGCTAACGGAATCGAAATCTCTGGATCGACGCACATTCTTCAGATAATTGAATAAAAAGGGCGTGAAATCAAAACAAGGCTTAGTAATACTACAAACACAGATACACCCAAATACACACACATAAACGCGTACCACTAGAATTTAGCGATAACAACAATATGCGGGCACATCTGATTTATGCAGAAAGCAAAGAGGGAGGGGGAAAGAGAGGAGTGGAGAGAGAGGATCAAGCCGGAAGTAACGTTTTAAAGAAGAAGAGTGTAACAGATGCATTTACCAGAAACAACAACAACAACAGCGATCGTTGACAGGTAGGGCATTCAAAAGGCAGTGCGAGGGAGATGGTGATGGGAAGAGAGGCAGGGCAGAACTGCAAACTGCGATTTATTTGGGGTTGTGTGTGTGTTTGTGTCTGTGTCTGCGCGCTCGTAATGCACGTGCATGTGGATGTGTGCCAGTCTGACCTCGTTGGCAAACTAAAAAAATAATAATAAAGAAGAGCATGAAAAAGTGTGGAATATGGCAGAGCGAACGAAGGCGGAAAAAGAAGCCGCACCTAAAAAAATCTATTACATCACTAGGAAAATTGACACAAGCATTAGGCATTTACATACGCACACACACTCGCACACACAACGCACAGCGAAGCGTACAAGTGTGTGCGTGAGTGAGCATGTCGAAAACGGAAGCAAATTGAGCATTGAAAAATACAGTCATTTTGACCCCTCAAACATGTGAAATCCAATAAATAGAGATAAGATTGTGGGGAAAAACAAATAATATGACCATAAATGTGTGGTCTGCAAACTTTTCCCAAGTTCTTGAAATTAAAATGGGGGTTCTACCGTTGTTTGGAAATATATTTAGACATAAAACCTTATAAAACCCACTCAATTTGACGTAAAAATCATAGACTACTAGACTGAAATGTGCAAATATGCGGAATGCAACTGCTTAGAGCCCCACTAGGATGATAAAATATCTAATGGATTGAAATTTACGAACGAAGAGCGACATAAAATACAATCTAAGCCCATGGGCGACTACAACTACAACTGCTAGAAACTTCTTTTCGAGGAAAAATCATTGAAAATATTCCCCCAAAAGAGAGAGAGAGCGCGCTAGAGAGAGAGAGCGGCCGGCGAGGGCGACAAAGCGACAAGTGAGCGCGGCGAATTCGAATTCGAGCTCCAGCTAGAGCCGTATTTATTTTAGCAAGGGGACGTCGACGTCGGCAGCGAAGCGAAGTTCGTTGAAATTTTGAATGTGTGACAACGCGGTTCAGTCTGCCGCCAGCGCGGCCCGAAGCAGTGGTATTTGTTATAAAAATATTTCACGATTTACTGGCGACATCCACTGTCTCGCTCCCTCTCTTTCCCCGTCCCCCGCTCTCTCGCCCCGTCCCGCTGCTAACAGCATGTTAACAGCCAGCCGAATGTTAGCAGGCGAATTGAATGCCAAAGGACAAAGGATGAAGATTTACCGCTAGGGCAGGCACAGTGGGCGAAAATTGCCTGACAGCCCCTCGAAAATATATATATATTGCAATATATAGTTTATTTCACAGCTCTAGCTTTGGTCGTCGAAAGTAACTAGGGGAAGAAGAAGAAGCAGCAGCCCCGCGTGACGTCAGCCCGCCCACAAAACACACACTCGAAAGTATTGAAAAATGCAGACATTTGTTGTTTGGTTTTTTAGCAACTCTCTTTTTTTTTGGTTATTGTTTATTGGTCTTTTAACGCACCGCTGAAATGTTAATAACAGCCCTCGTTACTGTTAAGTGGTCACACTCTCTCTCTCTGAATTTTTCTTTGTGGTTTCAATGAAAGTGAGCTACAAAGCTGCAAATCGAAATTAGTAATGATTTGAATTGAATTTCAAACGAGAACAAACATAAAACATTTGGTTCTCAATGGAGCGAGGGAAAAACAAGAAGTTGTTGTTAAATAATAATAAATGGCAGATGAAATTTATGCAAAACGGGTTATGAAATGTGAGCGAGAGGGCTAGAGGAAGTAGTGTGAGAGGGCGAGAAAGAGAGCAAGTTACATTATTTGCTTGGCGTTTCTTGTTGTACGGATTTCACTTAAAACTAAACTAGGCGTACAATAGATGTATTAACTATATAGATACCACAAAATACGACTAAAACGAAAATTGAAGGGGGGTAAAGAAAGAAAATTCAAAAAGTAAAAGAATGAAATGAAAAAAATATCACCTTTTTTTGTAGTAGGTCGTCGCGTCGTCTAGTTCTCTCCCCCTCTCTCTCTGTCTCTCTCGCCGTCGCTCTCTTTTGTGGCTTTGTTGCTGTGGCCGCCGCCGCGCTGCTGCTGCTGCTCTCCCTCTCTCTTGCTGGCTCTCCCTCTCTCTCACCGTCGCTGCACGCTGTCTCTTTCTTTCCCGTTGCCTTGCAGCGGAGCTCTGCTGCCGTCTCGCTTGCACTTGCGCTCCGCTGCTCTGCTGCTGCCGCTGAATTCGCTGTTAACTTTTCGCTGCGCTCTCTCTGCTGCTTTTGGTGTGTTCTTGTTTTTAGGTTTTAGATTCTCAGATTTGGAATCTTTCAATGAACGATTTAGCACTTTTGTTTGGTTAAATTTGATTCGATTGCTTGTGATTTGTGTTTTTGTTTCTCTTCAACTCTAAACTGGACAAAAAGGGGGGGTCGTTAATTTGGAGCAAGCAAGCGCGCAGGCGGCGAATTGGCGGCGCGAGCGTGACGAGCGAAACGAAACGCGGCGAACGGCCGAATCACTGTGGCATTGGCAATGGCAGCGCTTGTCGCTTCAGTGTGTGCGTCGCGATAAACGCGAGCGAAACGGGCGGCGCTGCTGAACGCGCACCGACCACGACCACAACCACACACGCACACCACCGCACACCGTCGCTCGTACGTATACGGGGCGAGAGAGCGCATGCTCTCACCGCCACACACGCGTTTTCTCCCGCTTTGTGGCGCCGCGCGCGAGTTTTGTCGCAGCAGCAAACACGCAATAAAAGTTCAAAAACAGTTGAAGTATACCGCGACGCGAGTAAAAATCTTTCCTTCGACGTCGTCGCTGTTCGTTGTAGTAGTTGTTGTTGTTGCTGTGTTCCGCGAATTTCATGTGCATTCATCTATATATGTACACATATATATATGTGTACATATATGACAAGCCAAGAGGTAAAACAACGGAACAAAAAATGCAAACGGCATAAAAATTTTCAAGTAAATGTGCGAAATATCCCCCCGTATTTTTTTCTGTTTCTTTTTTGTTTAAATTAATCTGCATATCATGGTGTGCGGCGGCGGCTGCATTTCATTTATTTTCTCTTTCTTTTGGCTCGCCGAAGATCTTGCTTGCTCCAAAACGAATCAAAAAAAAAGTATCGCTCGTCCCGTCGTCGGCTGCATTATTATTATTATTATGCTAGTACCAGAGCGGTGAATGTAGAAGGTAGATGACCAAATTCTGAGAGCACAGTCTGAGCACACACGATACGTCTTCTTCGTTTGGCGTTTCACTTTGAGCAGCGTGACCGTTCACTCTGGGCAGCGTCAGTGTTGCCAGACGAAAGTTCAGCCTTCCCCTAAAAAATCTCACACAGTCGATATTTGCCCCTAAAAAATACTGATATCGATATGCCACAACGATTGTATTTCGTTCCAATTTGTTTCCATAGAGGGCGCCCGTTTCCTTGGACCAGTTTCCAGTAAACTCGGTTACTCGATCTAAAAGTAAACTTTATTATTTATCATTATTAAACTTAACACTTATAACACAAATAATTAAGTTACAGTGCGCTGGATTCAAAGAAAACAAACGGAAAACAAGTCAAGGAAAAAAAAATACCAGATTCGTGTTTAGCCCAGACCAGAACCATTTTGGCAATCAGCTGTGTTTTCCGATGATTGTTATTTAATAAATACACGTCTGTTTAAAAGTGTATCTAAAAATTAGTAGCTAAAAACCTTTTGATTTATTAAAATATATGTATACATCCAAGCCTAGAAAGTTTTTTTTAGTTTTTGTTTTTTTTAGCCTAGACCCAAACCAACAGTCGATAAAACAGCTGTGTTTAAAATATATTTCTCTAAATTACAGCTCCTCACTTCATTAAATCCAACAAATGCTATCCGTTCGCTCCGATTTGTTTGAGAACAACCCGCAAATGGACTACAGCGATATGAACTTCAAGTTTCAAGTGGGCTCGCGCCAGGGCTCACGACTAATCGCCTGCGAGGACAATCAGTTGTATTGCAAGAACAAGAAGCTCATCAACGGGGACACAACCTACACGTGCCGCATCAAAAGCTGCAAGGCGCGAGTTTACCTCTCGGAGGACGAAACGCGCGTCTTCTCCTGCGAGGATCATCTAAAACATAGCCATGGTGCCCAGGACATCGAGTTGAAGCGAATCAATGTGATCGAAGAAATCAAAAACAGGTGCAAGCAGCTCACCGACAGAAAAACCGATTTGAAACAAGTTTTCGACGAAGTTATGGCCGAGTAAGTTTTCGAAAAAATCTAGAAAATCTTTTAAAATTTTATTTTCAAATCATTATGATACTAATATTGCTCTTTAACCCATTTTCATTTGCAGATTCTTTCCGGAAGGAGATGAAATTGAAATTTCCTATGATAACTGCAAACGAACATTGCAGCGCAAAAGAAAGGAATTTGCAACAATGGATTTTCGAAAGAAACGCCCAAAGAAACGCTGTGTAAGTTCTACTTGTATTCCCTATTATATTTACTTAATTAAACTACATTTTTCTTATAGGACCAGGAGCCAAGCCAAGAAATAATAGAAATAAAACAAGAGCCGGAACTTATTTTATAAGCAAGACTTTCAGAATGCTGATAATGACTTCTAAGAAGTTGCCAAACCAAAATGTATTTATTTACATATAAGTCTGAGTTAAAGCTAACTTGTTTCTTATTAAAACAAATAAGAAATGAAAACTATGAAATATTTTATATTCTTTAAAATTAATAAAAAATAATGTATTCTAAACGTTATGAAGAATCTCAGATGTTGATTTCATAAAAATAAACACAAACTGTTTTTGAAATGTACAAATTACAATCATTTGTGTTTTTTTAATAGTAATAATATGAATAAAAGAAGTGTACACAATTGAATTGAAATGTACGGCATTATTGAAATTGTATAAAGATTAAAGTTATATTTTATTTAAATGAAAAACTTAATTTTTGTTTGTTATTTTTGAATTTGAATTAATCGCCAGGTGTGTGTACGCGCTATGTGATAAACAGTCACTTTAACAAAGGGCGGTGGGTGACTCCGCTAAAATGCAGTATTTTGTGGTTTTTCTTATCTATCGATAGTTCTGCGGTCACACTGTCGATGTGCAGCTCCTGACATCGATAGCATCTGTTGTTAATTAAATTTTAGTTTACGATTAAAATACATTTGCATTTAGAGGATATTGTCGGTGCAACCGAAGCGAATTACAAGTGGCGAAAGTGGAAATTGGCAGGAGAGGATGTTTCCGGAGGCGTTTGTCCTGCTGCTGCTGCTGGCACTAAATGCCGGCTCGCCGCTGGGCAAGGATGACGAACGATTCCACGAGGAGCTGGTGGTGCGCCCGCTGGCCGGCGACCATGTCAACACCTACTTCCAGTTCACCACGCGCTGGCACTACGGGGAGAAGGATAATCGTGAGTTTCCCAGTTCCTGGTTTCCCGTCATTTGGGTTTCAGAGTTTCAGGGCTTCAGAGTTCCAGAGGGCGGGGACTATCTGCCGGTTCCACTGAACTACAGGCCACACTCGCTAGGGTGAACCTTGTATTTCAATGTTTTTTTTCTTTTTTGATTTTATATTACCTATTTTATTATCACGTCTAAAACAACAATTTTACAAGTCATATCTCCATTAATTTTTAAATTTTATTAATTTTTATTATCTATTTTTTTGGGTTTATCCAAAACTCGACTTCTAAAGCCCATAACTTTACCATTTTAAATCTGATTTCCCAATGTCATTTCTAAATGTTTGGGATTACTCATTTTACTCATTACCAGCTAAGTTTTTTGTTATTTTTATATTTATTTTAAGTTTAAAAAAATGTTTTTTTGAGATCAAATTTTTTGTACTTGGAACGAGATCATTTTTTAGCTAAAACCCACTTTATAGAAAGCAAATTTAAAAAAATATGGTTGTAGTAGCTTTTCTGATTTGAACTAATGACTCTGAGTAGTTTTTTAAAGGCACTTTTATATATACATTTAGATACAATTTAACGTTAATTTATTTGAACTTTATTTAACCTTTAACCGGAAGATAACAGAAAAGGTAACTCGAAACTGGCCGTTCATATCACATAATATTATTAATTGTGAGCTTTTCATGATTAATATAGTCAGTTTAATAATATTTGGTTAGATTATAATATTTAACGCTAGCTCATTTGAACTTTAACTGGAAGTTAACAACAAGTTAACTCGAAACTGGTCTTTCCGAGCACATAATATAACCAATAGTTAGCTTTTCATGATTTATAGAGTCTGTTTAATAATATTTATTTAGATTATTAAATTAAACGCTAGCTTATTTGAGCTTTAACCGGAAGTTAACAAAAAGTTAACTCAAAACTGGTCTTTCAGAGCAAATAATATTATCAATTGTGAGCTTTTCATAATTTATAGAGTCTATTCATTAATATTTATTAAAATATATTTATATTGTTAGGTTTATCTAATTATTTATTCAGATCTTTCCGTTAAGCCATACTATGTATGCTATTTATTTCTAACCGTTATACATTTGACCCCTTTTAAATGATCTTTTCCCCTTCTGGAGGCTCCAAACTTGAAACCCTAATAGATATTCATAAGTACAAGGGCGTTTCCAACTCATATTTACCCATCCGCTCCCTCTTCCAGTTTACCACACCCAACTGACGCCCCGTGTGATTGCGGAGCTGCTGCAGCAGTTCGCGGTGAAGGAGCTGCACATCGGACTCACGCAGGGCCTGTGGCGCTACGAGACGTGGGGCTATCCCATTGTGGAGGCCACCAGCGGCGCCGAGATGTGGGCCTGGTTCAGTGGCGCAAATTTAACCAACAGCGAGGTGGATCGCCAGTGGAAGGAGCTGGCCAACGTTTTCTCCGGCGTTCTCTGCGCCTCACTAAACTTCGTGGACCAAACGAACAGCATAGCACCGCGTCACCTGATTCGTCCGCAATTTATGCCCGCCAATGGCAAGAGATTCGTTCGCTACTCCACTTTGCCGCGGGAGATTGTGTGCACTGAGAATCTGACGCCCTGGAAGAAGCTACTCCCCTGCGGCAGTGCCTCTGGCTTTGCTTCGCTTTTAAACTCCGGTCATGTGCACAATACCAAGTACCATTCGCTGGGCTTGAAAGTCCGGGTGCTTTGCGAGGATCACGACGAGGACAATTGCATTGTGGAGCTCACGCAAACGGCCAATTTGGTCTACGATCTGCGCCTGTTCGAGCTGAGCAACACGGACTTCTCGCTGCGCCGCCTGTTCGGCATGGGACTGAACGGCTTCTGTGAGCTGGCCGAGAGCTCCAAGCTGTATGTGCAGCGCAGCGAGCAGGGCGAGCGCTTCCAGCTCGTTCCGGCGGCGGAGCAGGAGGTAAAGAGCACCCGTGGTGGCCATAGTGTCACCTATTCGGTGTACGACATGCATGAGCAGTTTAAGGAAGCCGGCGAGCGGCTTTTCAATGTGGCCTGGCTTTCGCCAAAGAGCGATTCGCATCGCAGGCGCAATCTGGCCAAGCCTTCGCTGCCCCCAGTGACCGTTCATCGGTATCTCCTTGGAAACGGTCAGGAAAGGGGCAGAATTTGCACGGAGGTAACCAATTCGCACTACGATGCCTTGCCCATTTTGGTGCAGGAGGTGATACCTTGGTATGTGCACGCCTATCTGCATACGCTAACCATCCGCCGGAAGCCGCAGCGTTTGAATGAGTACGCTCGCCAGCGGCTGCCCTTCAAGCTGCTGCACTATGCGCCTGGCAAGCAGCGGGAGTTGCCCTCCCACCTGGAAATTGGCTTCATGCTGCCTGGCCAAACATCCGCCTTGATCACCATCGATGTGGATTATCTGCTGCTCAAGTGGCTGGAGTATCCGCCGGATGCAAATCATGGCCATTACATTGGTGCAGCTATTGTTTCGAGTCAACTGCCAATGGGCAGGAACTACACTGCTCTGCCGCCGGAGGGGCATCTGTTCGAGCATTCGTTCAATGCCACGCGACCCAGCTATGTGCTCAGCTTGCACACGGAGGCGCTGATTGTCTCGCTGCCCACGCCGGATTTCAGCATGCCCTACAATGTGATATGTTTGGCCTGCACGGTGGTGGCTTTGGCCTTCGGGCCCATCCACAGTGTGGCCACCAAGATGATCATTGTGGGCCGTCAGGCGTCGGCGCCCAAGAATTTCGTGAAGAAGATCTTCAACAAGATTTTCCGACGCAACAAGGCGAACAGCGATGAGGTGGCTGCGGAAGGGGAATCGCCTGGAATCGCGAGAGCAGAAAGATCGACTGGCGGACCGTCGGGTGACCAGCCGCTGCTGGAGGATCTCGACGAGGAGGAGGAGGAGCAGGACTAGAGGAGAGGACACACACAAACAGCCGCGGGAGTCGTGATAAGCCCCCACTGATTATTTTCCATTTACCCCTCAGATTCCAATAAAATACTATTATTATACATATTTCTTTAGAAGATCTTCGGGAATATATCAAACTTTTTTTTTAATGCTGAAAGGGTTTTTTAAATTTCGGTGACACTCTTAAGAATTTTTTTTATATTTTTTTTAAATATCCAACGGAAAAATCCAAAAAAATATATCATCTGTCAATATATATCGAGAAAACCAAAAATAAAATAAAATTAAATATGATATATGATAATTTAAAGATTTTATTTAAATTATTTTTTTTTTGTTTAATAATAATAAGTCCTTGAAAAAATGTATAAAATAAAATAAATGTCATATCATTAAGATATAAACATGTTTATTAAAAAGACAAAGCAATTTGTTAAGACCCAAAAAAAAATTGTAAATAAATCCAAAAATTTATTAATTTACGTATGTATAAATTTCTGTAATTTTAAAAGACTATACGATATTTTGTGAAATTAGTTATAAGGCTTAGATTAGAGCTTGGAAAATATCGACAGATTCATCGATATTATCGAATCGATGTTGTGAAAATAATATCGAAAATATCGATAATTTGCAAGCTTTAGATTAGATCTTGAAAAATATCGAAATCCCTTCAAAACATCGATATTATCGAATTGATGTTGTGAAAATAAGATCGAAAATATCGATAATTTGTAAACTTTAGATTAGAGCTATACAAATATTGACAGTTTCATCGATATTATCGAATCGATGTTGTGAAAATAATATCGAAAATATCGATAATTTATCAGGCTCCACTTTAGATGTTAAGTTATTCCGCGAAGGGCTCCTGGTGGACCACCCGACCCTCGATGCCGTAGAAAATGGTTCCATCCCGGACATAACCCCAGGCCATGCGCTGCGAGGTGAAGGCGATGCCCAGGTCACCGGAGTGGCCGACGACGATGGCGCCGCCGGTGCCGCCCAGCCGCTTGGTCATCTCGCGGCACTCCTTGTCGGCGGCCGCCTGGGCGGACAGGCCGCCGTACTCGATGGCCGCGAGGATGCGCTGGGCCAGATTGTAGCGCATGATGGTCTCGCCATGTCCGGTGGTCGAGACGCCGCCGCGGCAGTTGTCCGCATAGGTGCCGCTGCCCAGGATCGGAGTGTCGCCGATGCGACCCGGCCACTTGCCCGTTATCCCGCCCGTCGAGGTGCCCACCGCAATTTGGCCCGCTGAATCCATGGCCACGGCGCCAACTGTTTCGCCACTGGGATCGGTTGTCTTTGGAGTAACCTCAGTTAATTCGGTGCGGGCGTAGAAAGGATCCTTGCCCTGCGACACCTGCTCCTGGAATTCCTTCAGCGTATAGCGGGCACCCTCGGTGATGAGAGCTCCCGGCGGCAGGCGCTCGCTGCCCGTGGACAGGGCCAAATCCTGGGCAGCCTGACCGCCCAAAAAGGTGTGACGCTGCTTCTCCATCAGGCGGCGGGCCACGGTTATCGGATGCTTGACATCCCGCAGCAGGGTTATGCATCCGGCACGCAATTCCCGGCCCTCCATCAGGCTGGCCTCCATCTCCACCTGGCCATCGGTGGTCAGGCAGGAGCCATAGCCGGCATTGAAGTTCTCGTCCAGCTCCATGCTGCGCACGGCCGCCTCCACGGCATCCAGGGCAGTGCCTTCGCCGGCATTTAGGTCTCGCCAGGCGGAGCGCAGGGCCTGCTTGATGCCCGCGAACTTGCCTGCCACCCGGGAGTCCGGAATGTCACCAGCTCCGCCGTGGATTAGCAGCACCGGGCGTGGCATCTTCGTGGGTTGTTCCTTAGTTTGTATACCGATGTAGTCGACTGCTCGAGCAGCTGAGGTCTGGAGACCCGATTGCTGCGTTTTATACTCCCTTTGTCTTTATGGCTCCTTTGTTGACGGCGATAATACGCTGCAATAACGTCTACTTAGCTAAGTGAAAGATAAGGTTAATTCTTCAATTTTGTATGGGAAATTTAAAATTGTTTAACATTTATTATTAATTATAAAGAAAAAAAATACATGGATTATGTAGATAAGTTTTATTAAAATATTTTATAAAGGTAATTTAATAGTGATTTATATTTATTTTAATTATAAAACTTATTGGATTGCATAGATGGGGTTAATTTTTAATTTTAAATAGGTAATTTAAAAATTTTGGATATTTATTTTATTTATAAAATAATAATTGAGAATTTCAATTATAAATCTTGTTATAATATTACGTTATATTACTTTTTTTAAATTTTTGTTTGATAAATATTTTTTAAAAATTTATAAAAATAAAGTAGTGTAAAAAAACAGTTACCTACTAATTTAGTTGATTTTATTTCGAAACAGTTGTTTATGTTCGTTTATGGTGGTTTTGTGGTTCTTGAAGCCTTATCTAAAAAAAATGTATTTCGTTTGTTAAAATTAAACCAATTTTGTCAAAATAATAACTTAGCTATGTATGATCATTCAAATGCTAATATTACTTATTAGTTTTTTTTTTGTTTATTCATGTAATAAATACTTTATTAATATTATATTATTTTATTATTAAAGAAAAGGTGTTAGTTAGTCGACCTGAAATATTTATGTGGTTACCTCCTCTCATTGTTTTCTCTCGCATGCACTGCGATAATGCGGGTAATCGGATTGTTCGTGTGGTAAATGTGTTTTACTTAAATATTATAATGGAGAACCAGAAGATATCGGTGTAGACGAGAAAGAGTTCTCGTGGGACCAGGTATTTACATTGCGGAATCCGACTCTCTGAAATCTCCATCGAAAACAGGCCTAACTTGTTAATGTGAAGTTCAAAAGCAAGCGCATGGGATGCAAAAATCCATTTAAGTAATATAATATAATAAAATAATTAAAATGTTATATATTTTCCAAAAAGTCATATAATAAATCCTACTTAAATTAAACTCATCTCGGTTATTAACTTGTTATTAGATTATAAATTAAAATAATAATGTTACTATTAAGTTGTTACTATTCAATAGGATTACATTAAAATTTTTTTTTTCAAAACATTTTTTTAAATATATAATCGGTAAGTTTCATATATGTATACGTATTTCTCAAATATATTTACTTTTTCAAAATCAATCAAGCCCGAAAGGCTAATTTTGTGGCTAATGGCCATGTCATATTCATAGCCCTCGTCATCTATTCCCAGTGGCATGTTAAAGTTCAATGGTCTTCGGGAGTTCGCGTCACTTCACCAGTGAACCACAATCAAGCACGCACGTAGAGTGCACCACCCTGCGGGGCATGACCCACCGACCACCCACCACCCACTGCCGCAATGATGATGGAGCAATTAAAGCGAAACGTTTAATCAAAACACTCGACGGTTGGCAATTGCGGCTTGATTGAGTGGCGGCGCCATCTACATTCCGCAACTGGTGTGCCGGTGGCGCCACCTGGTGGCAGTGTCACGTACAATGAAAAATTAGTTCACAAGATGCGTGTTTCTTTCTTAAATTGCATATATGGTGTATGTTTATTACTGCTTCTACCTATAATTTAAGAGTTTGGAAAATTAAATTTAATAATTTAATTGAATATTTTTAAAAGACATTTTCAGGACTCTCTAAAAATGCAAATAAAATGAAGTCCAAGTAAAATGTTTGAAAAAATCTTCTTTTAATAATTAATACATTTATAAATAAGTTGTAAATTAATTATTGCATATTCAATGAAAATATTTATTAATTTAAAAATGGAAATTTTAACAATTATCGTTAACGAAAATATTTTTAACTTCGATTTTGAATGAAATTTGTATATTATATTTTAAATTAAAATAATGCAATTTAATATTTGTTTATTTTTACTGTTTAAATTTTTAAAGGAGCAATTGTTTTTTTATAATAATATAATTCAAATAAGCAATTTGTAGATTTGGAGGCAAAGGAAATGCAGCTCAGATGGTTTTTTCATATTTGATCGTCATTCTGTATTTTATATGACTGGGGAATCCGAATAATATTCGGTACACACTCGAGTGTATAATAACATTTTATGGCATCGAACCGAGCGAGCAGAGACCGTTGCTTGAACTCTGCCCCCTGCTCGTTCTCATTTCTCCCATTTCTCTGGGGCCCTGATGGAGCAATTTTGGCAGTACCTCCCCCTTCTAACCATTTGGGGATCAAACGTAAATTTCAGTTTGCGAAGAAAAAGAAGGCCAAGAACAACAGGAGAGCTACAATAGACGCTGAAAATGGGGAGTTGGAATTCGGTGGGGTATTTATAAATCAAAATGTCAGAAATTGTTAACGGTTCCCAGCGACGGGGGCTGTCAGTCGTCGGCATCGGCATCGTACGCGTCCTCACATGACCCCCATCATCGTAGTCATAGTCATTATCATCGCCATTATTCCCCCCAGTGAACTTTGCTCTCCTCGAATGGGTTGCCTTTTAAACGGGGGTGAATCGAACTCAGGACCCGGAGTAATAGTTCACGCACCTTCTGGCCGCCTCACAAATCTAATTGAGTGTGAAATGCTCATAACACAGCAACAACAGCAGATGGATGTGGATTTTGGTTACCAGTTAAATCTTAGATGTTTAAAATCCCCAATCCTCTTCAATGATATCGTAAAAATGGATTAAATATATAATTTATAAATTAAAATACCACTTAAATACGTCACAAACCTCTCGAATTAATTATTTTTAATGAGGAATTTATTGCGCGCAACAAAATAGGCAACGCAACCGAATGCGTGGATGTAAAATCAAATATTTAAATTAAAGTTTATCACAAATGCATGGATTTTGGTTACCTCGCATTCCCCTCTAGTTAATTAACCTTAATCAATATTTTAGTGCACAGGCAGGTTTAAAAAATATGCGAAAATAATACAAAAAATATTTAAGTATTTAATTCTGTTCCTATTTACCTAACACTTAAATCTCACAATTGAACAATTGAATTGAATAATCCTTAGTTAGTTCCGAAGGGAAATCCATTTCCTGGAATTGTCGCAGCTGAAAAGTCTGGTACGATAATGATTGTGTTAATTTGCCTGATTGAGCACCCAACATCCTAAAGGTTCCGGAATCCCATCAGGAATCAAGGTCGCCGCACCTGAGATCCACCTGTCGATTCCTTTGGGTAATTGCATTGGAACATCGGAACATCGGAGTGACAATGATGACAATGACGCCAGAAAGGCTCTTTTGTTGCGGCTTACGGATGCCATTCGATGGGGGGTCCATTTCCCCACTTTTCCCGTCGCTTTTCCTCCTCTTTTCCGGCTCAGTTTACCCATCAGTGGGGAAACCGGATAATTTGCTGTCCCTCCAACCTGGTGGCAAGTGAATGGGTATCTTCTGCTTAAAACACCTTCGTCCATTTGCCTTCTGGGCTCGAGTCATTTTCCAATTAAACCCTTCTTCGACTTGGCAGGCAGGCGGCAGTGAGAACAATTAGTGCGATTGTGGTGTTCAATAAAATCAATCAGATTATATAATTTAATTGGAGTTATTGGCAAAAAATGTAATGAATTCAGGCTTTTCAGGCTTAAATGGCCATCGGTGGGAAATGTTATAGGCAGTAAATCTATATAGTTTTTCTGTTACTTGGCCAATGTCCCAAATCAAAGAACAGAATAAATAGGTGGCCAACACTTTTTGGCTGAGCTAGAACAATAAAAAATGTCGCCAACTTTTCACATTTTTGGTAAAATTTTAATTTTTTTTAATCGATTTTTTGCTGTAACTTTGGGAAAAATGGTCCCAAATCAAAAAGGAGTACTGTTTTGAGCAGCTAACAACCTAATAATTTATATTAGAAAACTTTCTGTTTGATTTGAAAAATATCAATTTTCGACCCAAATTTCGCTTTTTTGATAAGGGGTTACATCATGATTTTTTGCGAAATTTCGCAAAAATTAAAAATTTCCAGGTTTAAATGCAGATTGATAGGGAATTTTATTTCGAGTTCAACAAGGTAGGACATTCCATATTTGGATCATTATTTCAATTTTTATGACCAAAAAACTATACTTTTTTGGGCGGAAAATCAGGATTTTGATTTTTGGTGCAAATTTGACATTTTTCCTAATCGATTTTTTGCTGTAACTTGGGCAAAAATGGTCCCAAATCAAAAAGGCATCTGTATGTTATTATTAATTTAATTAGTATTTTTTTCAGTGGCGGCTTTTAGTAATTTCCCAATTAAACTCTTGATTGTCTGGCTATATTTTTTTTTTCGGACCAACTGATTCTTGTGGGTTTTGATTTCTAATGGATGAAGTGGGAGGGATTGTGAAGTCCCCGTATCGGTTACACCCGAGGTCATTGTCCTGAGTCCTTTGGACACCCCGGCTGGCAAATGAAATTGTCAGCTTCCTTTTGGTTTGTTATTTCTTCTAAAAGTATTTTCGCATCTCCCTGAGATGTCAAGTGACCCCGAAAAACTTGACTTTAATTTTCACTGGCGTTTCTTTTTTTTTGTTTTTGTCTTTCGGTCTTTTCCGTTCGAGAAGGGCGGCCACTTGAAAATTAATTTAGAATAAACCGCAGGCAATCGCCGCCATTTGAGCCCACATCCAACCACAGTGGATATATCTGTTTATCCTCTGCCAGATAATTGAATTTATCGACGTCTCATCCTTGTTTGTTTGAGCCAAATTGCGTGTTATAATTTAATTTCCTAGCCATTGGCAAGCAAATTGCTTGCCCTTCTAACAACTGCAGCAATTTGAATATATATGTAGGTATATAGTTTGTATTTGGCCCTCGTTCATCGATTGTTGTGAATTGAACTCATCCATGG